AATTATTGTTACTATTTAATCTATATTATTTAGTCAAATATCAATTATTGTTACTATTTAATCTATATTATTTAGTCAAATGCCAATTATTATTACTATTTAATCTATATTATTTAGTCAAATATCAATTATTATTCCTAATCTTTATGTCTATAATATCAATTATTATACGTAATCTTTATGTTTATACAGATATATATATATATATATATATATATATATATATATATATATATATATATATTTATACTCACATACGTGTATATTGAATATTGTCAAGTAACATCCCACAAGGACATGAATTTATCCTCTTTATTATAGAATATTTGTCGCATATGCGTCACAACCTGAATGAAACATAAGCGAAATAACACAGCAAAGGGAAATTTGAAATTTCAAAGCAACCAAACATTTCGACAAAGAAAAACAGCGAGGCGACAGCCCGAAGATTTGGTCCGCAAGAAAATTATGAAAAGATTCGTTTCACGATCGCCAAGCCTAAGAAACTCGACGAAATTTCTGACGTACTTTTGCAGAATTCGCGGGCGAAGGCTATCAGGCGTTAAATCATTCCGACAAAGTGATCCCCCCGGGCATCGAATGCGGAAAGAACGAGACTTTAATGCCCAGGCGTTTATCATTGTGCCCAGTTATTTCCTCCATCACGGGCCAACAAAGGGCTGTTAGCATTCCGCGCGGAGTGCCACCGTAATTCCTCGATCCTCGTTGAATATCATCCGCGAATTAAGAGTTTATCCTCAATCGTCGATCTCCTTGATCCAGTTAAACTGCGAAGATCGTTTACCAACTATCTCGGCTGTAATTATTCCAGAATGATATCCAGGGAGACGACTCTTTTTCTCTCTCTCTCTCTCTCTCTTTCTCTCTCTCTCGTTTCTTTTTCATCCTTTCAACAACGATGAGATACCATGAATATATGAATATGGAGATCTCTCCTAATGTCCACTTTTTCTCGGACTTTTAAGGTCTCTCGTCGCGTTCATAAAATGCGCATAACGTTTCACAAGGTCGGAAGGATCGTACTTTAGAATTTTCACTCTCGTGTTAAAGTGACCCATCGATGGATCACGGAGGATGAAGGACGGTCAATTTTCGAGGGATCGGATGAGAATGTACGTTCTTCGTCGAGCACTCTGTTTCACTCGTGGCCGTCCGACTTTTAACCGGGGGCAGGTCGATTCATTTTAAATTTTAAATCAATTGCGTGTTTACTGCATATTTATATATTGCGTATTTATCATTTGCAGATATTCTATTGTAAAAAGATCCACCGTTGCAAGAGAGCCGCGTCTTATTTAATAGAAATTAAGAACAATAAAAATCGATAAGAGGAGAAATTGTTTCGCACTGCAAAACTGAAGAGAAATACAACAGGACTCTCTATCATTCAAGAATGCCACATCGTAACGGTATCTTAGGACGTAGGAATATCGAACGGAAATATAAACACGTTGCAGCGAATGCTACTTTCGTTTGAGAAACGTGTAACTCCGGAGACATGTGTCCGACAATTCTTCAACGTTTTATACTTGTAATTGAGGGCTCGTGAAGCGTCGCAATTGTGCACGAAGAGCTATAGGAAAGAAAATGACAGTGGCACCAATATTGTATTTTTTAAAAGACACATTGTCTATGATACTTTGAACGTATTGTTGCACACGTACATTTTTTAAAAGACACATTGTCTATGATACTTTGAACGTATTGTTGCACGTACGTACATACAGTGTGTATAGTGAAATATGTAGCCGTTTATCGAGGACTGTGCACATGCACGCCAAAACGTGGGCATTTGCAACACACTTTACCGAGGATCGACCCTTCAGAAATTATGCATACATCACTTTGCTGTTTCCAATCTATGATTTACGCTCTTCGACGCATATTGAAAACAGATGCATCGATGCAATCTTTTTCGATGCATCGTTCCGCGCGTTTAGGTGTATTGGACGAACATAAAAGTTCAATTTCAGTGTATCTCTTCTTTTAGAACAGATGATAATTTCTTGTACGATCGAGCTATGAGAGATCTGAAACTTACGCAGTAAATTATGGCGATGGGCGAAAATTGAATTATAAACTGTAATGAAAAGTTATAGTAAAAAAAGGGAGTGTGATATTCATAATTTCTGACTTGATATTAACAGAAGCAATTAAAATAATTTACAAGAAAAATTAGATGGAAGTTGCAAAAAAAGGTGGAAATAGATTTTAACACTGAACAGGTCTTTAAAAATGAAAATCGCACGGTGAAGTCAATATTTAATAAAAGGTAAAAGACTAAGGCTAAGGTGAGAATAACTGGATCTCAGAAATTTATCTGATCGCGAATTTACGCGGTGAAATTAATATCTCGGACAGGTAACGCTAAAGGTAAGGTAATAGTTGCTTAATATCTTTGAAACATTATAAATCCCTGATATGTGTTTCAGATGTTGCCCAATTATTGCAATTGCCGCTGGAGAAAAAGTTCGTGCTGCAAGAACGGAGTCACAAAATCAGATAAAAAGGAAACAGTGGCGCAAGGACGTACGAAAATAATAAATGGTGATCGAGCACGAGGACGCGAAGGAACGATTGCTCTTTAAAGAAGAAAAAGAAGGAAGAAAATTAGAGAGTGGAGATCAATTTAGAATATTTACTGTACCCACTCTAATATTTGTGGAGGTTTGAAACTGATGTCCAACCGATACGTGGCTTCGCAGCTTAGCTTCACGGTCTTCAACTGCCGAAATCTCGCCGAGGTCTCCATTTTGCAGTAAACTGGACCGGCAGCCGGTTCCCTCCTCAGGGACAAAGTCACTCGAAAATGTCCATCAGCACCCATCTAGTCCCATAATTTAACTTTGGTGGGAATACAAAAAAAAAAAAAGCAGCGCAACGTCTATTCTGGTGATCGATGCTCACAAAAATGTAGATGTGAGCTTAAATCACGCGATGTGATCGTTGAGAGAAAAAAGGAAAAAGAAAAAGATTTCTCTTTTGAAAATTTGAAGGGCAGAACTCCCGCAAAAATTGGTGCACTCTGAAAGAACGCCAGGTCGGGACAAACGAACGTTGCAACGTGCACGGTGGGCGTCGCGACGCTTACTGAACCGCAGCGTGGTGAATGTAACGTGATTCCAACACGCGACGACGGCTTTGACTCCTCTATTTTGCCTTTCAACCCCCCGATCGTGTTCGGGATCGCGTTTCCGATAATGAAGAGATTATTGTAACCAGGGTTGGCATGATTAATACGGTCTCTGCGTATACGACATTTGCGGTGAAACGGATAGCGGTTGAAGAAATACGGAAATGCATAATTACTTTCGTTGACAATTGTGAACGTACTGTAAACGAGTTGGGAATGATTTTATAACTTGATCTGGTATTGATATATTTTTTACAATTAATGCAAATTCTCTCTCTTCGTATTAACAAAAAAAAAAGGTATTGGTTTAGAAAAAAATAAGAATATTTTAAAAGTTTCAGTAATGCGTGATTATATTTACGTCAAGGTACACTGCATAAGATAATAAGATAGTGTGAAAAATAATAGGATATAAATCGGATTACAAAACTGTCAAGACACTTATCCAAGAACTAGTAAATATGACTGTGAAGTCTTTCGCGAATCATCCTAAGGTCATAGAATCCATCTTAAATCGTTATAAGCTCCTAATAGCCAATGTCAGTCCAAAAATATAGAGTGTTAATTAAATATTTCCAAGCTTGAGGATATCCACCTTGAAATCCAGGATTTTTTCAAAACATATATAAGGATCGTGAAGAATTTCGATTTCATGATCACAAATTGAAGGATCTTGACCTCTGTAACATCGAGCTCTCAAGGTTTTAAAACACCAGGATAGTAGAAATCGAATCTCTCAAAATCTTGGAGAATAAATGCTTTTGCATATAACATAAATAAATAAATAATAATTTTTATAAGGACATTTTTATTATATAAATAAAAGTATAAACCATTAAATAATTATTATGTATTTTCAAAACATTTTTATTTCCTCAATGTTACAAGTTTTGACATTATTTCTTAAAAAGTATAAACGATATAAAGATATTTAAAAAAAAAACATTTGCACTTGCTTATATTCTTGTAATACAATGTACAACTGTAACATTTTCTTATATTTACAATATTACTTATTTTTACTTAAAATCAATTTATAACAATTACAAAATTAAATTTAATTAACACACAAGTTATGAATTTGCAAATATTTTTATTTGATTATTTAATAGAATTTTATGAAACAAATGAGATGATATTGCTGAAAATGTATTAATACTTTAAAAATACAAGGAACTATTAGTCGAGTATTTATACATATACATAATAATTCAATTTCTTTTTCTTAAATAGCCATTATTAATGACTATATATTAAATCATAATTTGCTTGTTAATTCATTAAAATTTCGTAAAATATAAATTTAACAAATTTTGTATATGTATAATATAAATATTCATTCACGTTTTTTTTCATAGGTATGTTTGCATTGATGTCTATTTGAGATAACAATAATATCATAAAAAATAAGTTTTTTACTAACAATGTTAGTAAATTAATTTTTAAAACTTATGTATCTATTCTCCAAACATATTTCCAATCAAGCGCTACGCGCCTTATTAATTGTCATAATGAATGTTCATTTCGTTTCTCTTCAATTTCAGAAACACGCTCGTTCAAAGCTTGACCCATTTTTATTGTTTGTCCTACTTTCACGCGAAATTTAAAATCTTTCGGAGCCTCGAATAATAACACAATAGTAGATCCCATTCTAAATTCACCAAATAATTCTCCTTTATTTAAATGTGTACAACCTAAATTAGCATCTTTCCAGCGTTTTGCATCAGGCCATTTAATAGCGTTTGTATGTAAATCTTTATCACAGTAAACTTTTATAGAACCTACATTTGTGGCCCCAACTGCACTATAAGCCATAAAACCACTTGCCCATTTACCAATATATATTACACGTTCATTTAATGAAAATAAATCTGGTAGATATTGGGCTATTTTGGGGTTAACGCTTAAAAGTTTCCCTGAAATGAAAAAAAGATATTCTGTCAGTTGATACATAATCAATTCACGTAAATTGATAGCAAAATATATAAAATTAATAAACCTTGAAAGTGTCTACGAAGTTCTATTTCCCAATCGCTTGGACTATGAAATCTATGATAGTTTCCTGGAGCAAGATAAACTGTTAGTTGACAGAGCTGATTCATTGGATCTTTTAAAAGAGATTTTATATAAATGTCATCATCTTCCTTTGAAAATTTAGGGTGATTAGAAGAAGATGCATTTATATCACCTAAGAAGTGCCTAAGATTATAAGTAACACCCTTTACTTGTTGTACACAACATGAAGTCACTGGTCCAAAATATAACACTTTCCCATCAGCTGGTGAAACCTATAAGAAATTTACATATAACATTACCTTATTTAAATTACTAATTTAATTTACAATAAAAACTATATACATACTATATTTGTGGTTTTATCAATAGGTCTTGCACCATATTTGAGCGGTCTAACAAAAAAGTCAGCAAGACTTGGAAAATCTGATAATTCCATATCAATTTCATCTAAATTAACATTAAATGCTCTTGCATAAAATCCATATAAAGTGGGTCTTAAACTAACAGGCAATTCCAAACTGGCAAGCCAACCCCATATTTTACTTATTATTCGAAATGGTAAAAAATAGTAACATTTTACCTATAGAGAATTCATAAATATTTAATTTTTATTTTTTGGCTTATACATAATCCTTAAATCAACTTTCATTCAATTCAGATATAATAAATCGCACGATTGTTATAATAAAAATCTGTACCACGAAAACATTGAGTGAGTTATACACACTGCTGTCCTCAGTTGTATATTGATACTTTTCCAAATGTCTCCATTGTATTGCTGTTAATAATGATACTCCTATTCCAAAGGAAATAAACCACTTTCTCCGTTTCACAAATGTGTACCAAGAATTGTTTTTATATTGATTTGTACTTATATTTGAAGTATATGTTCTTGAGAAACATTGCTTCATTAATAATTTGAAATTCTTTTTTGTATATATATTCATACAATGTTTACAAGAACTTCTTCTGAAACATATCAATAACATGAAGTAGTTTTATTAAATCAATGATAGAACTTAAAGACCTGTACAAACCTCACATCTTGAATTAAGCGACAAATCTTGTAACTCATCTTGAAAATAAATTTTATTCCATAGAGGTATATGTAAACTTTCTTTTACTCTTCTTACATTAGATTAACATGAATTATGTACAGATTTCTATAAAAATATATATTTATAAATAACAATATATTTTTAACGTATATTTTAATTGAATATGTACATTAATCGTTTTGAAATACATTTGTAATGTTAATAACTTACAACATATTGTCAATTCGATATTTTTACACGTATGTACACCACAGATAATAATAACATGATAATAATTATTATAAAAATTCGAAATAAAAAAAATAAATCAGAACAAAAAGTTTTTTTCTTACTACAAACACAGATAAACGAGGCCTACAAACTCGTATGACTATCACTGTATATCAAACGCCACCTAGCAGTTTTACCCATAAATTATATCATTTTTATTCTTATTCTACTTAAATGCAAGAAATATTCAGTCAAATTGTTATTCAAATATATTATAGCACGTTGTAAAAAATGATAATTAATACAAATTTGTTGCATATATTACAGATCACAGATATTTCAAATTACTATTATATATCATTTTATTATTATTATATAATCTATTATATATTATTATTATACAATTTATATAATAATATAGATCTGTAATATATATAATATTTATTACATTATGTGGTATATGTAATAAAATATAATTTATTATATATCTATCATGTAGTAAACTATAATATATGTAAAATATTTGTAATATGTAATTTACAATATGATTATTTTAATTGAGAAATATCTTGTTGGATCTAAACACGTACACATTCTAGTTTTACTGATATTATAGTATCTAATTTCATTCTGTTTTACTGATATTTACATTAATATTTTTACAAATTTTGAAGTTTTTTAAATTATTACTAACTTTTACGTATCATTTAGATTTGCACCTGCAGTTTATTTATTTATAAATAATTGATTGACCGGGTGTAAATGTAAATTCATATTACTGAAAATATAATCGAAAAATGATACATAGATGGATAATTATTTTACAATATTTGCTAATCATTTTGTATTTTACACTACCGTTCAAAAATCTTAGTTTTTGTTTTTTAATATCTTAAAAGTCACACTTTTGTTTTTAATATTCAGTACTTATCGTGTATATATATATTTTTTTTAATAAATAATGCATATTTCTAAATAGAATATATATTATAATAATACAATAATACAATACATTAATATATTAACAGAGTCTATTGCACAAAGTATGTTTTATATTTATTGTATTTAATTATATTGTACGTATTGTATTTACTATAAATACAATAATCTAGATCGTAAATCACATATTATGTATACAATTTATAATCTATATTTATCGTACTATCTTCATTATACATAATATTTGTTCTAAGAATTCTGAGCGGCGATGTATATACATATTTTCTACATCGTACGCATTTCCATATCTTCAAACTTTCTATAAATGCATAAAAATCCACAAGCAGTTTAGCTACAAATATAAAAAAAAAAAAGAAGAAAAAATCAAACTATATAAAATTACGTTTGTCGAAAACAAAGGAGGGAAAGAGATCAAGGCGAAAGCAATTTTCTACAACCGTGAGGCGTACCTGTGCCACCGGTTGCAATCGTCAGAAGAAAAGCGTAATAACAGGTGGCTCCGCATCACGGCAGGTGGATCAGTTCTTTTTTCTTCTTTTTTTTTTTTTTGGTTTCTCTTGGACGGTGTATGTTCTCCCATTGTTTTCGAGAACGATACACACAGTACATGACGAGGTGTACATTTGAAGTACTTGTTTTCCTTTTTTTTTTTTTATATACATATATCGGTAACTCGATCCGTGATTTTAAAGCCGACGGGTGTCAACATGGAGAAAGGGGAAACATCGACTCGAAGGAGATACCTGCTGCAATAATAGATGCGACAATTGCATCGCTTTTGTTCCACTGTGGGTAGAGGTTATATATGCCCGAGATATCTCTCGGAGGTGTGAAACGCATGAAAGCCCGTGGTTGTGGTAGAGTGAAGAACGAGATAATGCCGCCGTCGTCGCACACGAACTGGACGAAACCCCTTCTGAAGAATGGACAGACGATGCAGCTGCAGGCGAAGCGTACAACCTGCTCGACGCAAAATCAGAATTCAAACGGCAGTACCGCAGAACACAGTGGCATGCCACTTGACAGACGGATCAAGGTTGTTCTGGTGGGCGACGGTGCCGTTGGGAAAACCAGCCTGGTCGTCTCCTACTCAACGAATGGTTTCCCAGGAGAATACATACCTACCGCTTTCGACAATTACAACGGTTAGTTAAAAGTCTAACGACACTGTTGAAAGTTCTCTATTCTCTCTATTCTAGATAAAATGACAGACGAACAAATGGTGAGTGTATTTTTAGCAAATCGTTCATGAAAATCATGTTGACAATTGAGATTTACTTTGCAGTTGCAGTTAGGACGTATGAAGTATGCATTATAGGTGCATGTGTCATGCGAAGATGAATAAACATGGAATATCTGAATTTGTTGCAGTGGTTGTTAACGTCGACGGCCAACCAGTAAACGTTCAACTATGTGATACGGCAGGTCAAGATGACTTTGATCCTCTGAGGTCGTTGTGTTACCCAGAAACAGATGTGTTCCTAGTCTGCTTCAGTGTTGTATGCCCATCGTCTTATCATAGCGTAACTTCACGATGGATAAATGAAGTGCGAAAATATTGTCCCAATGCACCGGTTATTTTGGTAATGAAACTATTTTCTTTTAGTCAAATCAAACACGTGTTTGAAGTTTACTATGGGATTATGTTGTAAATAAGGGAGCAATAATGATTTTAGGTAGGCACAAAGAGTGATTTAAGATCGGATGTACATCTTATGTTACAATTAGCAAGATATGGTCAAACACCAATTACGAGTACACAAGGTCATCAATTGGCTCAAAATGTCGGAGCTATAAGTTACGTGGAAACGTCTGCCTTAACTCAACATGACCTTAAAGAGGCATTCGATCAAGCGATAGTTAGTGCTCTTAACACAAGGAGAGATGGTGCTAGTTTATTATACAGACGTAGAAAACCTTTACCATTATGGCGCAGATGGTTATGTTGTTGCGAAAAACCTTCTAGTGGTGCATAAATATTGATTGATTAGACTCTCTAGAGTATTCTCTGTGATCAAGTACGACTACTTTGTTATCGGAATTCTTAAATTTCTATTGATATTTTTTAGTAACATTTTAAAGATTTTATTCTATTAATAAGTAAAAAATGTGCATATTTTCCATAAGTATATCTTCCAATGCTTTGAAATTAATACTAAATTATTTTTTTAAGATTTCAACAAACTTCAATACTTTAACAAAACTACTTCAATAGTAGTTTTTTTAAATTGATTAATAAACCCGTAAAAGATGTTCTCTAAATCGTAATATAATCGGTCAAGATGTAATTCTACATGTAATAAGTCAGAAAGAAGGAATAAAATTTCTCCATATAAACACTTCGTTTTTAAGAACGTCGAGTTTGAAAATTTAGCAGATACATGTGTACGGCAAACTTTTAACGAAACGCAATAGACATTTTCTTAAAAATGAATCTTAAATGATTTGATAAACTGATGATGAAAAATTTTATTCTTTTTTTCTGAATTACTTTTAGATGTAGAATCACATCCTAGCAGGTAGTACCACGATTTCGGAAACACCCTACATACATGAATATACAATTTATATTCTGATAGCTAGGTCGTATGCTATTCGTAAAATTCCTGAAGCCTGATATGGCATAATTTATTACAACATTAATCATATTTTTGTTACTAGTATGTAATTAGCTACTTGCCTGTTGTGATTTTCCTTTATTGATAGGAACATTAACTTTAGAATTTAAAAATATATCATTGTCGCGTTATTATTATTAATATTATTATATAATATACACTATATTTAATTATGCAGCTTTTCATGCTGCAAAAATTCTATAAAATAGAAATTCTGATATCAACACTTTGCATTCTTATATTATTGTCAAAATATGTTATTTATTAAAGAGTACTTGATATGTTGAAGAATATTCTACGATATTCAAGAATTTTTGTCTATAAATGGTGAAATGTAAAGTATTACAAATTCCACTGACATCATTAATGCATCAGGATATGTACATCATATTGAAACTATATATTGCATTGTTATTATGCATATAAATCAAATCAATTGTTTAATACATTTTTATTATGATATATATACTTGCATGAACAACCCATCTATTTACAAGCAAGTTCTTTCTTATGTATAAAGCATAATAATGAATTGATATTCAAAACATCTTCATGAAATATAAGGTAATATCAAAAATGTTAGCAAGCGCTGTGATTATAAAATTTAAATTTTGTCAAATTCTATAATTTTTGTACATAAAACACAAAAAGATACGCAAGACTGTTCAAAAGTCTTAGCGTATATCCAAATTATATAAATTAGTCGAATTAAATATTAAGTAAATTAAAATTTCCGTTCAATAAATACAAATATTTTTTAGTTTTTCAGTTCTAATAGTAATTTTGATAAATAATAAAATAAAATAAAATAATAATTATAATAATAAAAGAAATAAGACAAGAAAAAGAATAGAGACCAAAAGATAAAAGGATAATGTTTGTATTTACAATATTTTCATTTGTAATTTCTACAAATATTTCAGAATTAAATTCAGGATTGTACTAAATTTTGTATGTTCTACTAATATTAGCAACAAAAAGTATTAATACATAATTTTATAAATATTTTTGAATAATATTTGAAGAAATATTTAAATTAATTATTGTTAGAAATGATGTTATTTCTTTAAAATTAATATAACGTATTTACAAAGTTCAATAGCATCTTGTACGTTTCTGCGATTTCTAATGTGATTTTTACTTTTCTCAATTTTAATAATTTTAATATTTAAAATTGAACATATGTTAAAATTTTTGCTCAAATTGATATGTATTTTAAGATAATTTATGTTAGACAAGTATAAAAAGTAATCCTTTAGTTTTTTATTCTAAATGACAATAATTTATATATTTTGCGAATGTGTAAATTTGAGATACTTGTAATTATATAGTTCAGCACATTCTATATAGAATATTTTTGAAGTATATGAAACTAATTCTCTTAATTTTCAAGCTTCTTTATACTGCTTCTTATAGAACCAATGTTCCTGAATCTTTGATATTAATGTTACAAATTGAATATATGCTTTAAATGAAAAGAAAATAATGTATACATATAATTAATATCTGTATTTAAATATAATATGCTTAATATGGTCTTTTTATATAACTTGTTACTACTGAAAAGCAGGTACAATATCTGTTTCAATACATTATTAAAAAGATAGAATATAATAAGTGGTATCGATTTTTAAAATTTTATCCAAAAGTATTTATAATTTTAATTTTATAAATTATAATTTTTGAAATTAATATTTTTGTTTACATCTTTGATTTTGGTTTCACGTTTGTGAAATTCTTTTAATTGCAACATTACTTCTGTAATTCAATATTTTTTGATGTTTTAAAAATATGTTTATTTTAATTTACATTACAGCATAGCAAATACATTTTTATATTATAATGTTTACTGTGAATGAAAGGAAGAAAAGTACTTAAAGTTAGTCATTAATATTATACAAATCAGCGTATATTATTTTGTTATAAGTTCTGCAAAAACATGGTATTTAAAAGGAATATAGTACATATATATGTATGTATACATATACACATAGATACACTATTTTAGACTGAGGTGTCTCAACATTGTAATAAATAGTATTAATAATTGCTTATACCATATAATAAAACGAATATTTTTGTAAACATTTTTCTATGTCAATGTATCCTTTGATCATATCAAATTTGTGTTGAGTGTATATTTGTACATCAATAATAAATTACCCATAAAAGATTGTAATCTATTTACATTTTTATTACATCTTAAAAAAGAAAAAAAATTATAATTTTATAATTGAATACCGCTAAATATGATTTCTATGTAGCCCTATATTTTCAATTATTTGTTGGATATTTTCTTTTATTAATTATTTTCATCGAAGTTAAAAATTCTAAATTTGAAAATTATAATTTTTTCTGATTCAAATTCGAAAATCATTATAATATTTAAACATTTAAATATAATTTCGCATTTATAATAAAATTTATAAAATTCTAAATCTATTTTAAATATTTATGTTGATAAATAATAGATGTTAAATATATTATAGTATTATATAATCCAGATACTTATGATGAAAATAATATTTTGAAAATTAACAAGGAAAAGACATTACGATACATGGCATAGATAAATATTTTATTGATTACTGGGTGTCGGTGAAAATAAATACGTTTGTGTATATACAAATACGGTTGTTGCGTAACCTGGATGTCATTATAAATCAGGAAAAATATCTTTTTTAAATAAATCCTGTTAAATTATTTATGAGCACAATTACGTAAAATATGAACACAGATATTACTGATCCATGGTGTGGAACAGATGTTCCGGAATCCAGTAATGATAAATGTAAAAATTGTTTTGAGGATTCTTTCGTAGAAAATCAAACGCAACACATTAAATTAGCTGATTCAGAAGAATACCTAGAAAAACTTTGTAAGTTTTAACAGAAGAATCTATTAGTTTCTTTATTTTTCTGTTTTTTTTTATTCTACGTTAAAATCTTTTCTTTTAAAGTTTCATTAATTTTTTTTGTATTATTTTTATTCTACTTCAAATTTATCGTGAAGTTATAAAATTATGCCGCAGATTCTAGACTTAAAAGTCTTCAAAAAGCTTCGTCAAAGAAAGATCTTGTAACATCCTTATTTGAAGCAAAGGAAGATTCTATTGCACGTTTAATAACATCCGGATGTAAGATTGAAACAGAAGAAGAAACTGAACTTACTTCAAATCCGTTAATAAGACATATAGCACCTCACTTACAGGTAATTATGAAAATGTAAACAATTTATATTTATTATTAATTGTATTATATATATATAAAATTTATAATATTTATTTTAGGCCTTAACTGCTAACGAATTAGTTCATCTTTTGAAAGCAGATGTTCTACAAATTGTTAACGAATCTGTGAAAGAAGAAGAAGGGATTAACATACAAACATTAACAGATAAAGAAACTACAAATTATCAGTCAAAAGAATAAAGTAGAACTAAAGTTAAAAAAAAATGTCAATCCAGGTACTATCAGGAAAAGTATTTTTAGTAGTTACAGGTGCAAGTCGTGGAATTGGAAAACAGCTTGCAATATCCATTGGTTCAGTTCTGGAAAAAGGTTCACATATGCTTTTATTAGCAACAAATTTAAATGCTTTAAAAGAAACGGCAAAAAATATTCCTGCAAGTGTATCTGTTGATACTGTTAGTGCTGATTTAGCTAAAACAACAAAAGATAAATTGCATGGTAAATATATATATATATATTTTTTTTTATGTATATTTTGTACATATTATAGAACAAATTATACACACATATAAATATATATATATATATATATTTTTTTTTAGATATCATAATGCAGTCTTTAAAAGATCAAACTTTACATCAGTTTGATCGAGTAGTTGTAATACATAACGTTGGTTCACTTGGACCTATGAATCAGTGTACAAATGATCTGACCGATATAAATATGTGGCATGATTATTACGATCTAAATGTTTTTGTTCCTGCTATATTAAATGGGGTTATTATGCAAATATTCAATGAAAAAACAAATACTGAAAAACTGGTTATAAATATTACATCATTATATGGCATAAAACCAGGGAAATATCTAAGTTACTATTGTTCAGGAAAAGCAGCACGAGAAATGTTTTTTAAAGTAATGATTTTATATTAATATAAATGATCTGTATAATTTTTATTTTATATTTTATTAATTTGTTAATATATCGAGCAGGTATTTGCAGTAGAAAATCCAGAGATCAATGTCTTAAATTATTCGCCAGGACCGGTTGAAACTGACATGTATTATGAAATTTGTAATGATTTTGCTGACAAACAAGTGAAAACAGAATTCAAAGATATGTTAATGAAAAAAACTGTTCTAACTTGTGAGCAAACAGTTAATCGTCTTTTAACAGTTCTTAAAGAACAAAAATATAAATCCGGTGATCATGTTGATTATTATGACGAATTATGAATTACGTACATTTATTAATGTGAATGATTTGCATCCAGTTATCAGGTAACATTTCGCAATGCGAATAAATATATTTTTAATAAACTGTTTACAGGGTTGGTTAAAATTCTTTATACTTTATTTAATATCATTATTACATTATAAAGACATATAAACAATATACAATATATATAACAATATACAATATATATAAAAATTATATTAATTATATGTATAGTTACGAACATTTGTACTAAAAAAGACTAAAATCTTCCATTATAATTGTATGCTTACTGTAACATTTCTTTAAAATAGATATTTATCAAAATTTATGATAATAATTCATCATCTTGTTTCAATGATGTATATCTTACAGAATTAGGTCTTGCGTTTTGAATTCGTATATTTATTAAAACAAATATCACAATAGCATAAATTCCTACAGAAATTAACCAAACTGGTGATGGATATATAGGTGGCATAAAATGTAAATAAATCAAATTGTACAAAGAAGATGCCACTAATGGAGTTAATGTTTCAATAGATATAGTCATGGAAAATATTTTACCTATAAAATTTCATAAATATTATCTCAATTTCATATTAAAAAAATATGTTTTCTTTTTTATTTAACAACATTTACCAGTATCCTCTGATGGCACTGATTTGGATATTATAGTACGAATCATAGGACTAGCAATACTACCAAACATTCCTACAACTGCAGACAGGTACAAGTGCCAAGATTTCAGTGTAAAACTTTGTACCAAACAACTACCCAAGGAAGACAGTAATGACAGTATAGCTGTCATTTCTTCAGAAAATCCTGTACAAGTTTATTATTTTTCTAATTAAATATTTCATTTATCACACTTTTTAAAAATATATATTAACATATAAATTTTGACTTATACCTCCATATGTCACCAATAATTTTACTCCAACTATTATACCAAGAATTGAAAGTACAATACTTGTAGCCGAATAAATGGAATATTCGCTTACATTCCAACCAAGTCTAGCGCTTGCAAATAAAAAGCCAACTGTCATATCTCCTTGTAAAGCAATAATCATTAAAATAATGCAAGTTATACAACACCAAACTATATATCGATCAAAGCCGTTTCGTTTTTTAATACAAGTACTTATAAGTTTTTTGACCAAATGTATATCGAACAAACTTTTTATAGTTACCTACAAATATTAGGAAGGTATTAACAATAACAATAGCATATTAACGACATAATAAATACATACTGAATCTGTGCTGTGTGTAATCTCAGGAACAAAAATATAAACATAGAATCCTGCTACAATGCAACATACAGTAGCAATAATAAATACAACTGTGTATCCATATGCTTGAAAAATAATGGGACCAGCTAATATGCCAGCTAAAATACCAATAGATATTAAAGCTTCCAGCCAAGCTAATTGCCATCCTCTTTCCTGCTCGTTTGATATATCAGTGAGATAACAAATAGTACTTAATAAAATTATGCAAAATCCTCCACAACATGCATATGGAATATATGCAATTAATAAAAACCATGGATCGATATCCCAAATTGTTACAAGGGAGAGAATGATATATGTTAATGATATACCTATGACATAAATTATACACTGAATATATGTAATATTATTTTTTGAGGCATACAGTACTAACCAATATATCCAGACAACATAATAGACTTCCTCCCATATATGTCACTCCATGGGCCCAGAAACAAAGACAACAAAGCAGGTACAATACTTTCAATAATTGATTTTGTCATTAAAATTAAGCTTGCTTTGGGTTGAACTTGAGCATCTATTTTCAAAGCTTCTGCAGAACTACTATTGTTGTGTAATAATGAACATTCTGTTTTATTTATGCTTAATGTTATACTACAAGTGCGATACACTATTAAATCTGTTAAAACATTACCTAAAATTTGAATTAAGCTTATGTATAAATCAATAAGCCAATAAATTATGGTTAAACATTATAAAAATAATTATTTTAAATAAATACTTCTAAAAGTAATTATTTTAACGCTTTGATATCTTTTTACATACATTAAATATTTACTAAAATAAAAAGAAGAAAAGTTTATTATATTTAAATAATATATCTTGTGCATGATCATTTAATATGTATAAAATATATGAAATATATCAGAATTACTTGTTATTGCCTGAGCAATTATTAACATCATCATGGATGGTTGTACAAGTATATAACGTTTCCATCCTACAATCGTGTTTTCCATTTTGTATTTTTGCTAAATAATAGCACCACAATGAATACAACTTGAAATCACATAAAAATACTGATTGTGTTGTTTGGAAATGTAATATCAGACTATTAAAATATAACAAGATTTACCAGACCGGGCATACATGATTACTAATATTCGAAACTCTCATATCAGTGTTATTTCAATATTGTTTAACTTTGTGTGACTCGTTTTCGCATGCTGCGTCATCTTTTATAATCAGCAAATAATTATCCTAGTTATAATATTTTGCCATATGAGAAATTCTGCTATATTTCTCTGCATATTGAATTTTTTTAAAGAGAAAATTGAATGTTGCTTAAATATGTTAATTACATCATAAGTAAATTTATCTGTATCGTTCTTGACAGTTGAACAGCTGATCGCTAAAAATAGATCATGCGGGCGACTGTGTAAATTGTGTGTATATTAATCTAGTATAAAAGATTGTACTTTTTTTTTAAAAAATTATTTTGATTCTGTAATATTAGACAATAAGAAAAAAAAATGTCAATTCGTTTATACATGACAACGAAATAAAAAAATTTTACACACATCTGATAAATGTAGTCACGCTACATTTAGTACACGCTATGATAAAAATTGATGTTAATCAATTGTTAATGATAATCATAATCGTCGTATTAATAGAGACTTTGCAAGTACAAACAAGCAAATGAATTGACATAAAATTATTATTTAAAATTTTAATGATATAAAATAAGATTCTACATATTTTACAGAATTTTATTTCGTAACAAATAAAACACTAAACAAAATTGATACTGTGCAGTATATACTATTATATTTAACACAACAAACATATTATGTGTACTGATAATAATAATGAAAATAGCAGACCAGTAACACCATCAGAGGAAGATTGTTGTCATAGTGCATGTGATCCTTGTATTTTTGATATACATAAAAAATTGCTTGAAGAATATGAAAGAAGAAAGAAACAAAGCATAAAAATACAAAACAAACCAAATATACTACGTTTATGTTTATACAGAAATTTTGTAGTTTTTAATGTACAAGAACTATCCGAATGTTACATTTTACTTATTTTGAAATACAATGGTATGTAATTAAGCACTGTTAAATGTATTATTTTCAATTACTTGTAATATTAATGATTATTTATTTCTTATAGAAAATAATTATAAAGATTGCAGAATATTAATTGATCCAGGACAACATGTTGTATTACATGTGTGTGATACTGCCAAACCATACACACCAATTTTTTTTACAGATGACTCCATTGAATTTCTAATTAGACTTTATCCAAATGGAAAGTTTAGTCAATACTTAAAAACTGTAAAAGTAGGTGATATAATTCATATTAGAGGGCCATATGGAAATTTTAAATATGAAAACAATAGGTATGCAAGTTATATAATTATTATTTATTTTATTAACATTTTTCTTCAATATTTATAAAAATATAACAACAATAATACATAATATTTGGCATATATTTGACAATTTCTAATCATTTAAAATGATAGAAAATTATTTTAAGCATATTAAAACTTTTTCAGTTTTCAAACAATTGTTATGTTTAGTATGGGATCTGGAATAACTCCAGTTTATTCTATAGCAAAATCAATTATAGACAATGAACTTGAAGAGACAAAAGTTCATCTCATTGGAGGATTTAAAAACATATCTCACATCCCTCTAAAAAGAGAACTACAAACCTTGTCAGATTATTGGAACTTTCAATGTACATTATACATATCACAAATACAAAGTAAGTCAGATGATTTTTTAAATACATTTTTCTTCATTATAAAAATATATCATATATAATAATTACGAATATTTCCTGGTATTTTGTATTTTAGATGGTTGTAATCTCCATGGTATAAATGTAAAATCTGAAAGATTAGGTCAAAAATCAATCTCTGAAACGCTTGAAAATAAAGAAGCTAGTACTACATTAATCTTAATATGTGGCACTAATCAATTTAATAGATTCGTTGAACAGTCCGTAAAATGCATGAATTACACACATATACACGTGTTTGAATGAATTAATTAATAAAAGACTATCATGTTAAATAGTTTTTAATTACATTAGTTAATACGACATGATATGCTTTCCTTGCAGTTGGGGCATGAACCATGAATTTGATGAAATATAACATGATTTCCAGCAATTGTTTGTAGCCACTAAAAATAAAATTTATAAACATTATATTAACGTTGAATAATGAATTAAAAAATTATTTAATATTTATATATACACAAATATACCTGTAATAAACAAGATGTATGGAAATGCCTTCTACATTTTTCATTATTACAAATTTTATCAGGTAGAGTTTCATTGTCTAATTTTAGAGAAAAACAAATACAACATTCTTCATCAGTAACAATAACATTGTAATCTATCTCTTCCTTTTTTATTTCTTTTTTAGGAAATGCGTCTATATCTAATAATGTCATTAAATTATTTATAATATCACAGCTTGGATCCCATTTCTGAAAAAGTATTGTAGTATCTCTTTTAAATACTTCAATATATTTCAACTCTATTATTTTATACAGCAATATTCTCCACATATTACATACATTTAAATTTCTGGAAACTAGGTCTGTCTTTGATTCAACTTCGATATCACTACCCATAAATTTAATTTCTGGCAAATCCATGTGATTCAAAGGATCTATTTTAATAAACATTGATAAAGATGGTGTTAAGTAAATTCGTCGATAAAGATGACATGGTTTTGGTTGCAATGGATCTATCACCCAACAATTCCTAATTATTTAAAAATAATGCATATATTATGTTATAAATTGAAAAGAAAACCAAAAATAAATAGGTATATCTACTCATGTTCTTACTCATCAATCTGTTTTAAATTTGACCATACTTTCTTAAGCATTTCTACTTGTAACTTAAGTTTATTTCTTGCTATATCTAATGTTGATATATTCCTTTCAAAAGGGCCAAGAGTAGATATTTCAGGCAAATCTGAATAAACAACTGTCCATGGGCATGTTCTATGACTCGTTCTTTGCAGTCTTACAGTCACATTGTTCAAGGATAGTTCAATTGTATTTAGGCTACTATCAGATGATATCTTAATTCCCTATAATAATGTGATTTCAAAATTTATCTAATTAATTACGATATTTTATTTATAGATTTTTAGTTTTTTAACATCAATAACTTATATAAATTTTTCACATACAGATGGTATCTTAAGCACATTTTTTAATTCCATTAATGTTTCCATTGCTTGGTCAGCTATCACATCATACTCATAATTTTCAATATAACTAGAATTGATGAAATTGCTCTATTTGAAAAATACTGTTATTATTACATACATACATAAAACACAAATAGTTTTTGCAAAGATCCGTTATACTCACAATTAGCAATTGTAATTGTTTTAAGAATGTTGATACTTTGGTTACGCTACACATTAAATCCTTTACTTTGTCGCTAAATTCTTTTCTGCGTATAAATGCAATTTCTTTGCCAAAATAAATTTCTGCACCGGACAGTGATGGATAATTGTGCACAATCAATTTTAGCCTGATTCGCATACTTCGCCCTGAGTTGCATGGAATTTCTAAAAATCCTTTCCATGTTACTGGTTTCTTGGAAACCAATATCATTTCTGGATACAATTGAATCATAAACTTATAATCGCTCATCATGACAAATTAATAATTGTTCATTAATTTTTTAATTATTATTCATTATTCTTGCCTATAAAATATGACATATCTGTCTCAAAAAGACATTGCACTCTTCATCTTTATGATGACAGTGACAGTTCCACGCTTTGTCAAGTTGAATCAGTAGAGATATACAAAGTCACGTGACTCGATTTACTGACTTATCATCAAATTCATGAGTAATGAAACGTGACTTTTCTACAATTTGGTTTTATACATATCTAATGTATATATCAATTTTAATATTATTGAAAAATTCAAATTATTTTTTTAGATAATACATATATATAGATTATAGAGAGCATAGTAAAATGTATGGCGGGAAGTTGAAGAAAATGTTGATTGGTAGTGTTAATTTGAACAAATTTATTAGTTTAATTTATATTGAAATTAATTTGAACTTATGTTTATATATAATTTGTAATATAATTGAAACTGTGAGAATTGTTTAGTATCATTTATATTAATTTGTATTTGATGTTAATTTATTGAACTTTTAAATATATTTAATCCTTAGAAATCATAATAGTAAAAATAAATATAAATTTACAATTTATAATTGTATTTACGATTTATAGTTTATAATATATAGATCTTGAAAAAAACAACTGAAATTTGAACAAGTTTGAAGCTTCTAACATTTTGTCCATAGTTCAGCATAGATTATAGATTATAGATATGGACATTATTCACTGTGAGTAAATATTGTTTGTGTCATTGATGGTAAACATTCCATTAGTTTAAGATAAAACTGCATTTTATATAACTGCCTTAAAGTCGGTGAAAATGTAGCAGTAGTATTTTGTAACTCGTACAAAGTCAGTTGTGTTATGAACATGCATCGCGTTACTTCCATCTGCTACGTATTGCATCCATTATTGTAGGTTATAAGTCATAGCCTACTCCTTTGTCGAATTTATTGTTTAGTTTTCGTCTCGAAGAGTTTTGTCATTGCTAGAAAAAAATGTTGAATATAATAGAATTATCAACGAGGAAAGAAAATACACGAAAAAGGTAACAGTGAAAATTAAAGTGAGAAATACGCATATTGATGTATCATAGTATATTCACGAATATTGTAATACAGTAGCAAGAATAACCATAAGATGCAGTTATGAGAAGCGTCAACATTATCAATATGTTTTTGTTGATCTGTAATTCTGTAAGTTGAAACAACTTCGAAGAAAATGTATACAGTATTGTCTTTCATTGTGACCAAAGTATTAATGTATACCTGAAGGTATTTTCTACATAATTTTAAATGAAAAGTTAATAAAAGTTATAAAATTGAAATTAAAACGTACAAAGTATCCAAAGTATATAATTACGTACTCGAAACGTATTTTTAATGCTTATGATAAAATAATTGATAATAATAAGAAAATATATTTTAACAAAAATGACTGGTCCATTAAGAGATCAACCATGGGGTTTGAAAGCCATGGAATATGCAATTATTAAATGTTGTCCAAACCATCGTGTCAACCGAATTATATGGCATCAAGGTGTTATTTTAGTACTTACATACTTAGCATACACTTGTTACCATATGACAAGAAAACCTATGTCTGTTGTAAAAAATGTATTGAGTTTTAACTGCAGTACTTTATCACCACCTCCAAATTTTTTAATCAATAGTAGTAATCGAGATACATGGTGTGATTGGGCTCCATTTGGTAAGTATAATATCAATTTCTAAATTCAAAATGATTTAATTATGTATAATTATATATATTTTTTTAAATAGATACTGCAGATGCTCCAGCATTACTTGGCATATTAGATTCAGCATTCCTGTTTGTATATGCAGCAGCTATGTTCCTCAGGTGACATATTGAAGTGAGCTTATTTATAAGATCAAAAATTGTATTATTTTGATAATGATATTAATGTTTATATGTGCAGCGGTTTCATAGCAGAAAGAGTAAATCTACGATATTTTCTTACATTTGGCATGCTTGCATCTGGCATATCTTGTTATCTTTTTGGTATTGCTAGGCCATACAACATTCATAATTTATGGTATTTTGTTTTAGTTCAAGTAAGTGTGTGCAAATGAATTATCACTTGTATAAATTTATTTTGGCTTAAATTATTATAAACCATTATTATATTTAGGCTATTGGTGGCGTTTTTCAAACATCTGGTTGGCCAGGTGTAGTTACAGTTGTAGGAAATTGGTTTGGAAAAGGAAAAAGAGGATTAATTTTTGGAATATGGAACTCTCACACATCATTAGGAAATATTTTGGGCAGTTTAATAGCTGCTGAGTTTGTGGAATCTGATTGGGGTCTAAGTTTCATGGTACCTGGAATAATAATGGGCTTAATAGGATTTATAATATTTTTATTTTTAGTACCAAATCCTATAGATATAGGATGTATACTACCTGTTTCATCTAAATATAGAAAACTTGATGCTGCCCATAGTTCAGATGAAGGAAGTAGTGCAGATGAATGTGAAAATATACATAATGTAAGTTGAATATATTCCTTGGTAAAGTTCTTATTTATTTCTTAGCATGTTATGCATTACTAATAGTATTTTGTAATTATTATCTATACTAGCACTGGAATGAATATTTTTTCAAATATTTCATGCATATTACTGTCGAACATTATACAAAATTAGTAGAAAATATTAGCAGTTCACTTTCTTCTATTTTTAATAATTTACCTTAATAAATTTTTGAAATGGTCATCCATTCTTTAATTTCATAACATTAAATATAATTGTAATTATTAGATTTTCGTGTTTATTACTTGTTTTACATACAGTAGGATCCCTTATAATGTGAAAGATGTTACAAATTGTGAATAAGTAATTTCTTGATGGCGCTTTACGGAGTCCTATTGTATGTTTTTTTTTTTCTTTTTTTGCACATATTGTATGCTCACTAAAGATAACTCATTTACTGTACTTAGCGTCTCACTTATCGCTGTGCCTACCGCGAACAAGTTGATGTCGATGTAAGTGCATGCTTCCTTTTTTTTATGTAATTAATATTATACTTCATATAACTATATTAACACAAATAGCGTTTATATTTTAATATTTATATTATTTCCTTGGTATTTCTTTTATAATAAATATAAGCTTTGCATGTATATACTTTATCTATATCTGTCTTATACTTCTATAAGTATTTATAATAAGTTTATTTTGTAAGGACATCGAAAATGCACGATCTGAAACTAGTCCGATATTACCAAGGCATAGACATGTACAAGAAAGTGATAGAGGAAATGCAATTGGATTCATGAAAGCTATGATGATACCTGGTGTTGTAGAATATTCTCTTTCCTTATTTTTTGCAAAACTTGTAAGCTATACATTCCTATATTGGTTACCGTTGTATATTGCGGCTTCAAGTTAGTATTTTTTAAATTATGATTAAAAATCGCGTGTTTTGTGTAAAAATATTTTAAAATTTTTTATCCGTTTTTAGCTACCTACGGCACAACATTAAGTGCAGATCTTTCTACTTTCTTTGATATTGGTGGCATAATAGGTGCAATAGCAGCTGGTGTTTTATCTGATTATAGTGGGACAAGTGCTTTAACATGTGCAGTCATGTTTGGATTTGCAGTTCCTATGGTATGTAATTAACTTGTGTTATATGTGTTGAAAATTTTAGAAATTAGAAATTTTCAAATACCTTATAATCAGTAAATGAATAATGTTAATAAATGTTAATAGTGTTCATCAGTTAAGATTTATATATTACTAGATTAGTAATTATTTATTTCTATAGAGTATAATTTTTTACAATTCATTATATAGTTATTCATATACGACTGCATTGGAAGTACTAGTTTGGCAACCACCATATTGTTGCTGCTAATAGTTGGTTTATTAGTAAATGGACCATATGCCTTGATAACAACTGCAGTATCTGCTGAACTAGGAACACATCCTAGTTTGGGAAATAATTCTAAAGCTTTAGCTACAGTTACTGCAATTATTGATGGTACAGGCAGTATTGGGGCTGCTGTAGGTCCACTACTAGCAGGAATGGTAGCAAATTGGGCTGGTTGGCACAATGTGTTTTACATGCTCATGATTTCAGATATGTTAGCATTATTGGTTAGTTTACTTAATGTTAAATATCTAAGAAATAATGATTCGTTTGAATTTTAATATAACATTTATTTTTTCAGCTTCTATCAAGATTAGTTTATGGAGATGTAAAACTATTTAGACGACGGCGAAGAATTGTTTCTTATTGAATAAAAAATAATGGATACATATGAAAATAAATAAATTCTCCAAATATGTATTCAAATATTAATTCTTTTATAAATGGCATAAAATATATATAAAATTTGCACTTTGTGTTCAATTTTGTCAATTCACTAGTGCACCTAAATAAACAGTATATTTTTTATAACTATACTTTTTATAATTTATAATTTAGATTATTATTTAATCAAATGCCAAGAAAAAAATAACAGTCTTATTTTATGTATTAAATATGATAATTTTATGTATATTATGATAATTGTTTATAAACAATTAAATAAAAATAAATGTATATTAACATCAAGGAATTCCAGTTGGAATTATGTAACTAATAGAATCTGCGAATTCACCCCAGGCTGCTCTTTGTGTTTGAAACGTAATAATCCATGCTAAAAGAGCAAATGACCATATACTTGCTCCAATCGCAGAAAATATTACATCTGAAAAAATTAATATCAAAATATATCACAATATATATAGACAAGTAACTTTACTAAAGATAGCAATAGTTTATGTTTTAATAAACAGAATATATGTTGTTGAATTTGTATAATCACGACTGAAATAAAATGAATGTTGTTAATTAGTCAATGTAATCTTTTTTTATATTTTTTAATATCTTAGTAGTATTATAAAAATTTTATGCTACCTATATAAAAAAATTTACTAAATACAGAATTTATATTATTCGAAACTTACATCTCTTAATTTGTTTCTGTTCTTCGTAATGAGGTTCAATAAAAGCTTCTTTTGCAAACCAAATAGCATTTACAGCCCAAAGGAATGGTAGAAAAACAAATCCAGCTACAAAATAAACAAAATATTTACACATATTTATATAAATAGAACATTGCAATTAGAGACACGTATCTTACCCCTGAAATACCATTTGCAAAGATATAATTTTTTATCGTTTGGTATTTTTGACAAGTCCATTGTGTCAACAATGTCAAAATTATAACCCCGATTTTTGTTACATCAAACGCCACAAATGTATAATACAACGTTACTTCAAATATACGTTTGCATATGCATATATATATATACACACATTATATATACATATATTTTATACATATATATATATATACATATATATTTAAAAATCGTTGAGATTAATAAAAATGAGATTTATGAAAGAATAACGTAAAAACTCATTCCATTACGTGTTAAACTAAAACGTAAGATTTTCTTTCGAATGAAAATGTTGCTTCATTTTCCCGATAGATAGAGCAGTTGTATAATAAGGTTAAAAAAAAAAAAAAAAAAAAAAA